TAACAGTCTTTTATAGTTCTCTGAAAACTGTTCCCTATTTTTTAGTTTCTGAGAACTGTTTTCAAAATTATAAATGAAGCAAACCTATTGTTCGATTTAAAAATTCTTATAAAAATTCTCAAAGAATTTAAAATAATTTTTTATTTTTAGAATTCTCGACAATTATTCTCGAACTTACAAACCAAGGAGAACTATATTATTTTAACAGATGTGTTTCATAACTTAACAAAAACATCACCAAACAAGTACAAAGTAGGAAACGGCAAAAAGCTTGGAAATTACCCTACAAGTCACGTGATAACAGCAGGAAACTCACGTGACACATCAGAAGGCGAGAGGTCTCATGGGGACTACTTACCATGCATTCAATGAGGACTGAGGAGGCACAGGGTGCATGGTCAGTGACAAATGCATGCTGCTTGTCATTCACTCCCTAGGACATCATCCCACTTGTGAAGTGGGTCCCACTAGCCCTATATAGTTTGGAGCTCATTGACTCATGGGGTATGGACCAAAGGGTATGTTTGGGTGGGATGTGCCCTAATCTTACAGGGTGACCCCAAAGCTCATGGTATATTACACAAGTTGTATTAATGTGTTATACTATGACTTATATATCCAATAGAACCAGTCCTTTCCTTTTCTCATGTAGGTCTTTGTGCCTTTCATAAAGCCCACAAAGTGGACCATAACTTATATTTGATGAGAACCATGTCAACTTATATATTTGATGGGAAACTGTCTCATTCTCATGAAGGTATTGGACTATTTGGAGGCAAACTATAGGTTTATAAATTGTTTGGTAATGAAATATTTCAATCTCTCAATCTTCCAAGTTATAAGTTAACAATGTGGTGAGTCATTGGATAATATTAAATACTTGCAACAATGTGGTGAGTCATTTGAAATGAAATATGTAATGATTTAGAGTCAGGAAATTGAACAATTCTGACAAATTTATGCGAGTGGGAGATGACGTTATCACGATATCATTAATATCCATGACATCGTAATGACACCAACTTCTCCTCAAATTTGACCGGACTTGTTATCATTACTCTTAAAAATAAATGATCAAGTAGGTAAACCACTAGCAAGTTTGTTTATGGTATATGCAATTTAAATTGTGTAGGCATTGTTGGAATTGGTCAAGCAAATCTAAACCCTAGCTTCCCTATACCCAACTTTTGACATTATTGGCATAATGTGATTGACTTTCAAAATTCATTCTCTCTTCTTTCAAAGAATATGGCTTTCTGGATGTAGATGGTAATATCTATACATATATACATATATATATACATATGTATATTGTATAATAAAGTACCACACGGGTGAATATATAAAAATCAAATCTATGTTATGATCATCGGCATCCGTCTTCCGATTTCGTCGTCTGACTTGTGGATTGAAAACGTCAAGCATTTTACCACTACACTAGGCAAGGACACCTAGTGTGTCGAAGTAATTAGAGCGAACTTTTTAAACTATTGTATACCATCAATGTTTCTTATAATTAGAAAAAAATGGGGTAAGAATGTAATTAACTTTTTTAAAGAATATGTTCTCATATTAAATTTCATTGACTTGAAGAGTGATGATACTTGACTTGATGGTGACTAGCAAAGCTGCAAAGGGAAAATAATGAAATTGTGGAGACATTGGTATCCAAACAGATCTTCTGCACATGGACTAGTAGAAGAATTTCCAAACAAGATGATATAGAAATGTTTCACACACTAGCACACACCCAACAACATGAATTGCTTCTCTCATTAATAATGTTTTTGTTTACAACAACACAGATCTAATCAATCATGTGCAGTGGAGTGACTAAATTAATACTCTTGAATATAGTTGCTGACTAAAAGGCGTATGCCAGTTTCACATGTATTTTGTTTCTGCTGTTTTTATTTTTGAGTTATTACAGTGTCGATTTTAGCAATAAAAACATGCTTGGTGCGGCTTTATTTTATTTTACATAATATTAAAACACTCCGTGAACAGTGGCCTAATACCAAAAAGATTTTTTTTCTTATTTTGAAAACCGTTCATAGCCCAAAAATCATAACTGTGCATGTTTCTGTTTCCGACATTTCTATAGCAAGACATTGTTTTCAAATGTGCTTTTAATTTTTTTTCGAAACATTCCTACAACAAAAACACTATTTCTGTTTTAGCCAAAAACAAAACACTTAAAACAAAGCGCATGCCAAACGGGCGCTTACATATGATTTTTTTTTTGCAAGTACATTTTTGCAGTGATTTGAATAGTACCAAAACGTGTTCGAAAAAGATACCAAAACCAAAACCGAAAGCAAAACATCAAACATAATATTTCTTAAATGACCTTTTCTAACTAGCCATTTTATTATTCAAACATGTAATCTTTTTTTACGAAATATGTTTTTATATATTTGCTTTCAAAAAAACCTTGCAACAAATATAACAATACCAAACATACTTTCGATAACTATTGAAAACATTTCACAACAAAAACGTAACTTCTATTTTGAATCAAAATAAAAACACGAAACAAAAACAATTGCCAATCCAAAACATAATGATATACAACCATCTACTATTTTATTTTTTCCTTCCTATTTTTCATTTGTATGTATAATAAAGACAGTTAGGCAAAAGCAAGTGTTGGTTGAAGTTGTGAAAGGAATACTCATAGAAGAAGCATGAGAACAACCCTTAACAACAACACATCTTTAATTTGGGATGAGTGAAAAAGGAGTGACATTATTTTATTTTATTTTATTTTTTTTCTTTGGCCCGGCAAAGAAACAACAGCAAACAACAAACCAAACAAGACCACAATACAACACAAAAACCAAACAAAAAATCCACCCACAACCCAAAAAACCAGAGACTACGAAGGCAAACCCAAGGCATCCAAACGAGCACAATCAGAAATGTGAGACGGAAGTGGACGGAGCTCATGATCAACACGAAAATGACTCCTAGACAACATTGCACCAATGAAGCAATAGCAAAAGACTGAAGGTCCAATCGAATATCAAAACAAAGGGAAGCAATCTCGGAAGGGCAAACCGAAATGTCCTTCACAGCCTCAACCACTCCCTTAGCATAGGATTCAAAACATAAACGTTGAAACCCAAAGAAAGAAGCCCAAAGGAAGGAGTGACATGACTTTGTTATGTTTTATATATTTGCTTTGAAAAGGGATTATTTTGGGCCACACATCACAACTTGACCAGTCACTAATTTGGAGGCATCACTATTAAGGATGAAGGACCCTTGACTGTCGTTTCTGGTCTATATATCTATATATATATATACTATTTAAATAAAATTATTTTTTAAATAATTAATTCATTTACTAATTGTTTTTGAATTCTTAAATCAGTTGAATTATGCAAACTTACAACTTATATATTTGCATAAGTTAAACTTACAACTCATTTTCAGTGAGACTCAAATCAATAATCTAATCGATACACTATTATAATTTTTACAAATTAGAATTTCTAGAACAAAATTTTAGCTAGAGTATAATATATCACTCTCTCTGCATACTTTATGAATAAGAAATTAATAATTAAGGAACCTGGTTCTTTTCTAATTACCACGTGGAAACTCTGATTGGCCGCCGACGCCCATTTGAGGACCACAACAGATAAGAATGGGTCAATTTTGATATTACATATACATTCAGCGAAAAATTTAAATGCCTTAGTGCAATTTGATTATTATATTTTGTTGGATGGGTCACATATTATGCATGATATGTGCAATCAAAGTCACATATTATACATAAGAGTGTTGCGAGATTAAACCAAAAAAATATAAAGAAAAAAAAGAAAATCAGATTAAATTCAAGAGTACAGAGATTTAGTGTGGTTTACTCTAAGAGTTAGGGTTATCTTTACAAGTGGCAAAAATTTTATTATGATGATAGAAAAATGATATCAAATATAGAGAGTTTAGAATTAATAATACCTTCGCATTAGAGTAACATAACAAGTGTGGAATATACTAAAATACTTTTTAAAAAATTCGAACTGTGGGATATCAAATATAGAGAGTTTAGAATTAATAATACCCTCGCATCAGAACAACATAACAAGTGTAGAATATACTGAAATACTTTTCAAAAAATTCAAACTGGGGTATAAGCCCCCAAACCCCATCTACGAGCAGGGAACTCTTAAAAAACTGTCTCAATCTAGTGATTAATATAGAGAATTCAAGACTCTTCTTATGAGGGAACTCCCTGAGAACATTAGTCTATACTCCGTATATATTAATTTACTGGATTGACATATTTATTAAGAGCCGTAATTCTTATTTTTTATTTATTAAATAATTTATTTGATTTTTTATAAATTAAAAGAAAGTCTCAATCTAATGGTTAATAAATAGAGAGTTTATACACTAGTAATGAAAGGACCACCCTCTTGATAGCATTACAATTCAAAAAAACTCAACCACTGTCACTTTAATATTAACTTATGTAACTAAAATATATTATTAAAATTTGAATTGCTCGGGACATGTCCTTCCAAGTCGTGCTCCAAGTAACAAAGTATTCAATATCTTAAACAGTTGCTGCAAGAATTTCAAGTATGCATTTCTATTCTAATGTTTTCTCACCAACCAATCTAAGGTCGGAATATAATACTCAACATTATAACCAGTTTCATTTTAACGAGATTTTAAAAATTTTTAATTCTCAACATTAAAACATGTTGACAACATAAAAAAGCTCAAGACCTACTTGGTATGAAAACAATTTGTCATTTCTAAATATGCTTTGCACATTGCAAATATATATATATATATATTTCTGAAAAAAAATAGTCTGAATTTCGAAAAAGATCAACTGTCTCAACTCAAGCTATTTAGATTATCTGGATATATTTACTCACTCCATACCAACCTTGTACTGAAACTGACACTTGGTACTTTGTCATTTCAATCCATCCATATATATATATATATATATACCTATAAGAGTGCCACCAGCTGAGTAATAGATAACAGTTGATGAATCACTTTCTCATTGTCAATAATGGTCCTTAGTATCTCTTTGGGCAAAAGAAGAGAAATCCAAATCACTATACCAAGAATGATAGTTACATTTATAATTGTATTTAGTAATTAGGGAAAAGCATAATCAGTCTTACCAGGATTGCAGCATTTTAGGGCTGACAACATAGTGATGCTTCTAAGAATTTATTATGAATTTTTCCATCTTGCACCAGAATTCACAAGTTTGATATAGGCGTTCCTAAAATCTCCAAAGAACATATCCTGGTTTTCGGCATACTTTGAGATCCACCTGTTTATGAAAACACGTCGGAGGGACATGTTAACACACACACACACACACACACACACACAAAAAATTATGCTAGTGCAAAAACGATTAGAGGATAACCATTTGTGAAGTTATAATAATAGCATGAGATTGACAGAATCCATGTATGTGCATGTCAGCTTACATTCATCGAAATTCTCATGTTTTACTGATTTTTCAGGGAGGGAACTAGAAGAAGCCACTACAACACATACCATAATGCAAGTGTGTCGGGACTAAATTTTAATATTATAGCATGAGGAGAAAATGAGAGCCGATTGAGAAATTCTGAATAGTTTAGAAAAAACCAAGGTAATTTTAGCTACGGTGGATAAAAAGTTGCCTGAGAATTATGAGGAAGCATGCGTTCCCAGTCACAGATCAGGACTTTAAAAATAATAATAATATAAACATTCGCTATTTCATTATGGGAGGCTGACACTATAAATACTAATAATCACTTGCACACAGTAAAGATCATGAGTAATGGCAAGTAGAGATTTTTGGAAAATGATACCTTATGCATTCATCATCCTTAACTAGCGCGCGATCTGAAGGAAGCCCAATCATACTTGACATGCCAGCTGCATAGATGATGATAAGGAACAAAGAATTAGGCAAGAAAAAATTACCACTAAAATAGAAATTGTGCAGTGATTGGCCTAAGAAATTCTACGAACAACAATACTGAAGGAATATATATCCACTACGCTAAGAGAATGAGCAGTCTGTTCTTCGATTAAAAGAATGTCATTTAGAAGATGTACAATTAGGGAATTTTCTTTCCAGCCCCAATCTGCCTCACTCCTCTCCTTCAGTCGTTCTTAATTTTATAATGTTGCTTCTCCAGATAGGGTAGAGTTGAGCCCACCATAGCTGGTGGCCAAGAGCACAATTGACTGCCTAGGTTTTGAATGAGATGTATTGACTGCCAATCAAAACAAGATACAACTTTTTGAATTTAATAAGAACCACATTATGTCAATTACCTGAAGAAGACCCCGGGTTCTCAAGGAGAATTTTGTAGTATGAATTATCAAAGACTGTTGGATTTCCAAAACCTTTACCTCCAATAGTATGAGCACCAGATAATGCAACAAGTTCTTGTGTTCTGCAAATAAATACAAAGTTGCATGTTCTTTCAAACATGGTATCAGTTATGTTTAACTAGATTAACAACGGCTTGACATGTTACATCTATAAGCAGTACGCTTGGTAGGTTTTAGTGCGCGTACAACTCATTGAGAACATCGCTGTATTCACTAATATACTTGATCAAATTTCCCATGTTTCGGAAACCTGGACACCCATTCTGACCTATATTTGAAAGATCAAATTATGGTTTTCACTCACTCATTTCAAGGTGTCCAAATAAAAGTTTCTTGACAATATTGAATAACAAATGCAGATGAATTGGAAAATTACACTCAATAATATTAGATAAGTTGAATAACATATATTTAGCTATTTTGCCAGTGGGTCATCTTCAGAGATTGAAAAAACTGCAGTTTTATAATCTAAAATGATTGTAAAAGGAAATCATAAAAATGTATCAGCTATGTAACTAAAGAAAAAGAAGATAAATATCGATTTTCTCAACATTAAATATAATGTTCCAGAGAAAGAACAAGCTAGTTGGACCACAAGAAACAGGAGAAAAAAAAAGTATGCCAGAGGTTTTTGGTTACTGTGCTCATTATAAAAATAAAATGAAATCAGCATCAAACAAGCAAATGAAAAAAAAGTGTCCAATATTTAAACTCACGACAAGCCTTTTCTTTGAAAACACTGTTTTAGAGCAGAAGCATCTAAAGACTCTTGAGGAAGCTTCCCTTCAGGATCAGGTATCCTGCAAGGCAAAAGCAATAATTAGTAATTAGGGCTGCAGTAGCTAATTGCATAGGCAGAAAATCGACATGGCAACCGGAAGAATAAGATTTGAAGTACTTCAATTTCTAAAATGATGTAACTATGTATAGGAAACTGAAGCTTTAGAATTGAAAGCATAAACTTTCTAAAGATAACAAGTTTACCTAAGACTCGGTAAATCTTATCTCATGTTATATGGCAAAGATTAGACCCTTACATTGAATCTACTCTGCCAAATCGAACTGGAATTTTCGGACCTCCACATAGAGAAACAGCTTCAGCTCCAGCCACAGCAATCATATCTGCCCATGATACTGCTAAAGAAACAATCTGCGATTAGTTAGCATTAGAATAACATCCATTTAAGTAAAAATATTTCCAGTTCAACTTCAGCTCACAATAACCTTGTTGCAATATATCCACCTCACTCTTTGCTTTCTCTAGAATCTGAAGAACAAATGGATCCACTGAGGAGTTAGCCGGTTGGAGGTCGTAAAAGTTGATCAGTCTGGAGATATGTTCCAGAAAATGAGAACTTTGGAATATGATAGGCAGATATGTAATCAAAAGTCTAAATGCATATATGGATATGCACATATGACTTGAGAAATATTACAAGTATAAGATAACTATTGGAAAAGAAGGAGGACAGAGAAAAAGAGTGCAAGAGAGAAAGCACATGCCTTCAGAGATTTTTTAAGGCCTGCATTTTCCGATCTATCAAGTTCATAAACTATAGAGCCATTCATACCACCTGAAATTAACAAACCAATCAATGATGTATATTTAGCCTAAGAAAGAAAAGAAAAGAAAAGAAAAGAAAAACAAGAGAAGACCAATATTAAATGGTTAAAAAATGGGATGGAAGGAAAATCGGAATGATATAGTAGATAATTTTGCATGTTTGATCGTCAACAAGCCAGAATCCAATTCCAAAAAGCTTTCCCCTAACTACTTGAGGTTATCTTGAGCCAAAGACAGTATTAGCTAACTAATCTAACTAAGAATAAGCATATGTCAGCATGACTTTTCTATACAAAAAATAGAATAATTTTACCACTGAAATATGAGAAAGGGGACAAAATATAACATGGGTAATGTAGCTTATGAATTGGGAATGGCACCCTTTATCTGCTCTCTTTCCATCCACAAAAAAATAGCAGTTTAGCAAAATATACTGATGACCATACACTGTCTTAGTATCCTAAATTCCATGACTAAAATGATATTGTTTTAATGAGTCACAAAGACTAGTTACTCCTATTTAGAGTATGTTATGAGTTATCTTTCAAGAACAAATCTCGTTATTTAATGACAACACAGCTGAATGAGTGTTCATGTTTGGTATTTAGGGCATTTGTGGGTCAGAGGCAAACCTGAAGATCTATTTTATATTTCCACCAGGAGGGACTAGCATACTCCAAAATTTTCTCTGCTTTGCACAAAGCAGTAAGCTGACATATGGTATATCCTTGCAAAAGGCAAAGCAGAAGCACTCCACCCTAGCTTTGTTCTTTTCCAAATCATGTCCAGGATTTATTAGTTTCGCTTCCTATACCCCTCCAATTTGTCTACCACTCTTATATCATGATAAGCAAATCAAAATTCCAATTTCATGCAAGTAAAAAGGAAACACTTCTTTGCACTAATTTGGTACCAAGATTCGTTAGCTAGTGATACAAAATCGCAGTTCAGAATTGGAGAAATAATTTGTAAGCAGCCAATAGAACCTAAGGAGGTTAGCATCATCATGGAAGCCTCGAACCATTTTTTTTCCAAGGAAAGTAACCCTCAAAGTTACTTAAGGCGCCAACAAATACTCTGCCTCAACCCATTAATTGAAGTAAATGATCTGTCTGAATTTTCTTCCTGGCTGCTTGGCCTATGGTAGGTATTTGGTTCACTGCTTTAGGTATCGGCACTATGAATTTCAACCTAAATGGTTTCAATTTCAACCAATGTAATTGATAGTACATGCCATATAATTATTAATTAATGCTTTGGCTGATATTATTAACATGCTAACAATCATTCAAGATTGAACAGTCTAATTACCCCAGAAAATTACAAGAGAATTTCAAAGTTATCAAGCAGAGAAAGTACTTGGGCTTCTATTATAAGTTTACAATCAAATTTGATGTGATACGCTTTGAAAAGTTTGTTAATCTCTAATTGGGAGAAAATCATGAAAGTTGCCTAACACTAAAATTGGCTCGAGTGAGAACAAAAGCTAGAGATCTTTCTCACAACACTACAGATGTTAGGTATATGATCAGTCCGAATCAACATTACACTGCGGATTGCAGTATATACAAGAGGTTTGAACTGAAGTGACCAATTCCTTATAATTAAAATCCTAAATAATCACCAACTAGTGGAAATGCATCAACATTCATCATCCCAAATCCAAACCGGGCATTTTGTCAAAAGACTCCAAACTATTTGGGATCAGTTACATGAATCTTGTTTAGGCTAGACCACACATTTTCATGTCTTTCTCAGTGTCATTCGTAATCTCAGATAATTTTCTTCTCCACAATTCGTCAATTTGATGTACATGTATAGAACTTTGTTGAAGAATTTAAATATTAAAATTACCCCCTCTCTAACAGAAGAAAAATAAAAAGAAGGAGGAGAGAATTGTATAAAGGTGTGAATGATATATTCACTCATTCACAGCTCTAGTATTTATAGATAAAAAGAGTACATGCTCATATTACAAGAAAGGAAATTAAATCAAATCTAAATCAAATCATAGCATATTCTATAAAATAATCAAATCTCTGCTAATACGGTAAGTCATTCCATAAATCATGGACAACACATCTTCAAACACGGTCTTGCTAGCACCCTTCTTCAGAATCTACAAGTTAATATAACTAGCAATGATTTTCTGAAGAGTATTGGGATGATTGATAGCGTGCCAGGGATGAAGGCCCTTGACATGAACACAGCTGAAGATGCGATTGTGAGGCTCACAAGGGAGATCGTTCCCGAGATGATTGTTACTGGAATGGAAGTTGCAGAAATTGATGGATCACCCAGGATGGGACCTACATTTGGGGCGATGATGAAATCAGGACAGAAGGCAGCCCACTTGGCATTGAAGGCACTCTGACAACCTAATGCACTAGATGGAACATATATTGGGAGCATTCACCCAAGAGCTGATTTTAGCAGCTGTTGATGCCGCACCACTGAGATTGCAGATGCTTAGGTGAGGTAATATGAAGTCAAATGAGACCCAAATAAAATTTAGAAAAAAAAAGGAAAAAAAAAAAAAAAAAGAAAAAAAGGAAAAAAGGAAAAAGAAAAGATGAGTGGAAAAGTAGTCCTGATGCGTTGGTGCTAGTGATGGCTGGTGGTTGAATGCATAAGTAAATTTAGTGAGGGTATGGCAAGTTTTTGTGAATGGTAGGGGTGTGTACCTTTTTTTATTTTCTTCTATGTATTTCCTCTTTGTTAGAACTTTGATGTGGAAATGGCAGTGTTTAGTTCCTTTTGTTTTTGTTATTAAAAAAAAATTATCAAAGCATATTCTATTGCATATTTTATAGCATAATCAAATATCTGCTAATACGGTAAGTCATTCCATAAATCGTGGCTACAATATATGCCAACACTCCCACTCCCCCTCAAGTTAGTGCGTGGATATCTGAGACACCCAACTTGGACAATGCGTCTTCAAACACGGTCTTGCTAGCACCCTTCTTCAGAATCTACAAGTGCAAATCTGACTAGCAATGATTTTCTCTCAAATGAAGTGCTAATCAACAAATCAAAAATGTCTCTTTAGACTATAAACAATTAACAATGTCTCCTCAGACTATAAACAACTAATCATGTCTCCTCAGATCGTAAGCAACCAATAATGTCTCCCCAGACCGTTTCCCTTCACATGTTTAAAACATGTAGATGGAAGAATCAACAATGTCTCACCATTCCCCTTCATACACATGTTTAAACAATGAAGATGAAAGAATCAACAATGTCTCCCCAGATCATAAAAAAGAAACAACTATGTCTCCTCAGACCGTTTTTGAATGGGTGGTGCCAAACTCGCAACGCCCTCATTGAGGTCGGACCACCCTGCCTACCCGACACCTCCCAGATGGGCATTAAACCATTCTCGAATGGGTGGTGCCGAACTCGCAATGCCCTCATTGCAGTTGGACCATCCTTGCTATGATACCAAGAAGAAATATAAAAAGAAGAAGAATGAAAGAATTGTGTAAAGGCTTGAATGATATATTCACTCATTCACAGCTCTAGTATTTATAAATAAAAAGAGCACATGGTTATATTACAAGAAAGGAAATTAAATCAAAACTAAATCAAATCACAACATATTCTATAGCATATTCAACTCTCTGCTAATACGGTAAGTCATTCCATAAATCGTGGCTATCATATTTGCTAACACTAACAACTTAAGCTTTTCAAGTAGATGCTTGTTAGCGCGGTAGAGCAGGCAAGGTCTGAGTTCAAACCTCACCGTCACTCTGATAATTTTTAAGATTGAATCATACGTTGGACCAAAAGAAAGCCACACAAGAGGGGCGTGTTAGAGGATTTAAATATTAAACTTACACCTTCTCTAACAACTTAATGTTTTAAAGTAGATGGTTGTTAACAAGAACAGTCCTTAATTCGGTGTCAAGCCAAGAGTCCACCCGGGTTCAGGTGGTTTGATCGCAATGAGGGCATTGCGGGTTCGGGTGGAAGAGAATGTTAAGAGGGTACCTGTCCCATATCAGATTCAGATGGGGAAGGTCTTGGGCTTATAAGGGCTGGTAGGCAACTCCACTTAATAGCTTAAACTTTTAGAGAGGGAGTAACTTTAATATTTAAATCCTTCAACAAGTCCATTTCAAAGCAATTTAATCTTAATGCTAAATTAAAAAACTTCACTCTTAACACAAGCCTAGAAAAGAATGCTGCAATATCATTCAGCGGATTCAAATACTCGATAACTCCATTAACACCTACAGCACACCAGTTCAAAAGGATAGGGAGTGCTTCATTTTTAGCAATCAATCTACCAGCCAGTTGCTACAACAATAAGTAAAAGAACTTATATGTAGGCAGACCTTAGCGGTAATGACAATCATCTTATCACCATATTCAAGCTAATTTTTTGAAACCAGTTTCGCAAAACATATACCTGAATTCTCGTCCATATCAAAGGTTCCTGCATCATGAAATACTAAACGAAGAACACCAGCAGCCTTGCCTTTGGATAGTACCTTCCTTACCTCTTCTTTTATAAGAAAATATTCACTGGCATCCGAACTTCAATGTCAAGCAATGGATAGAAATTATAAAATACAAAAATAAGACATCTACAATTTAACATTCTTGTGATTAGTAGACTGAATTTGTATTTAGGCCAGGTGCCTGGAAAATTTCGGCAACAATTAAGAGAATTTGGACCCGTTAATTAAGTTTATTACTTCTGTTGAAAAACATATAAATTTCTGAATCTAATTCAGCTTACAAATCAGACAAATAATCATAAAGTTTTGGTTCATTTCAGCCAAATGATCAAAAAATTGAGACAAGACTGAAAATCCAATCAACGTACAGTCAACCCCCTAAGAACATACAATAAATAAGTCAACGAGCAAGGCTATTGCTAGAGCTGGTTTTTGTTACTTCTAATGTATTTCAAGTGAAAGCACATGCTGGGTTCAAAAAAGGCCATGGTGACATAACATTAATGTTTCCTAACTTGATAATCCTAGAATTTTTATTTTTATTTTTATTTACTTATTTAATTTTCTTTTGAGAAACCATGGTTCCATGGTGGATGACTAATAATTATATCGCTTTATAACTAATCTAATTTTGAAGATCTTATTTGAATAGGAAATAAAGACATATACTGAAGGTCTATTATGCATTGGAATGAACATCCTAGTTTGTTTGTTTTCTTTTTAACTAAAAGGGCAGAAATATTCTTCAAAAATGTGCGCAAATATTTTCCTTTTTTTCTGAAAAAAGTTATATATTACAAGACAATTTTGGTTAATGAAAGTAAAAAAGGTGACACTGGCTAATTACAATATTAATCTAAAAATTGCAGATTCAAGAGCTTTTTTATATAAATTTTATTTTCCTCAATTTTCTAAGCAGTCAAAAGCAACTTCAGAGAATGTAGAAACATGAATTGAACTATTTAACCAATGAAATCTAGGAAAATAAGCTACTCGACTTACTCTGCAGCATCAGCAACAAAGCCCTCCGTTGATTTATGCAGTGGAAGAAGAAATGGTACTGAAGCCATAATTACAAGTCCTCTCCTTCCATATGATGCACAAACACCATTTTTATCTATTCGAAAAACAAACAATCTTAATAAATAGATACATCAAGAATTTAAATTTATCTAACCTACTGGATAATACTGATAATAAACGGTGTTTGGTAGCTGAGAAAAGCAGGGAAAGATGAAAAGAATACTCAGGCCATTGTCTTCCTGAGTTCCAAGACAATGAAACACCTAAACTTCACGATTCCAATTTTACTTTATTTTCGTTACTTTTTCTTACTTTCTTTTCTCTGCAAGCAAATAGAGTGTGAATTTTACTTGAATCATGGCTGTTGATGGATGAAGAAGCTCTGATGGTTCTTTTGCGTTCAGATTCGACCGTCGGACGAGTTTTGGCGGGAAATTTGAATTCGCCGGCGGTGGAGAAGGAGCCGATTGAGCAGAGTAGCGAGGCGTCAAAGCCGCTGGTCGTCATCTTCAAATGGACGGTTAAGAATACATCTCCATTATAATATATACGTAGTATTTAACTATGTATACATAACTGGTACGTTTGGACGAAAGAATGGACACGAAATGAAAGGAAAAGAAGGAAAAGCTCATTACACAATAAAAAGAGAGAAAGGAATATATATAGAGGAAATGAAAGAAAAATAACTAAAAACTTGTTGTACATACTAATTTGGTTTAAAAATGGAAAAAAAAAAAAAACAAAAAAAAAACAAAAAACAAAAAAAAAAAAAAAGAAGGAAAATTAGTGGTGTTGGAATGTGTATCAATTTTTTTAGTAAAATTATCTAAAATTATACTTAAATTTATTAGTTTCTTATTTTATAAAATAAATAATAAGTTAGTTAGTTGGTGGAAGGTGGCTTGAAATTTCATTTTATCAATGTTGTAATGTCTTTAATTCAACATATAATTTTTTAATTTTTTTTTTTTTTTTTTTAATTTTGGATGGAGATTAATATATGGATTCAAAGAGGGCAGCACTATATTTAGGATTTAACTAAGAAGATTGATTACTAAAATTGAATTCTTATGTTTCATTTCTAATGCCATGTTCGATAGGAAAGAAAAGAAAAAAATTAGATGGAAGGGAGATAAGAAGGGATGGATGAGACATCTATGCAAAGAAATTGTGTCTTTTTGTTTTTGTTCAGATAGAAGAGAAAATAATAAGTCATAATTTACTATATTTGTTAAGAGAGAAGAAAAGAAAAAGTTTTACTGGTAATTGTTTTTAGCATTATATCCAATAATATCCAATAATATTGTAATTTATAAAGGATAATCCAGTAATTTAAAACTTGTATATAATCTAAGATAATATATAATTTAAAACTTCTATAATTAACTTATTTCCACTCATTTCTTCTGTCCATTTTTTAGTGAATGAAAATTTGTAAAGGATCCTTCTTATTCTCCTTTACTTTGTATTTCATTATATCATCTCTACCGATCAAATAAAGTTTTGTATTTTCTCCCCACACTTATTCTTTTTTTCCTATCGAACGGAGCATAAGCAAGTGTGGACTTGATGTGTCACTGATGTGTGGCATAGCAAGGATGGTTGATGATGTGCTCTCAGGAGGTCCATTGGATGGCACAACACTATAAATGGGAGGGGTTTCTATGCTTTAGTAAGAGAGCTTGGGATGTTAGCAGAGAAAGAACTTGTTCATATATGTTCAAGTTCTAGCAAAAATAAATGACTTTGAAGTAATGAGAAATGAATGACTTTGAAGTAAAAGCAACAAAATCAGTAGCTGAACAAGTCAGGCAAGAAAATTGTTCAAGTTCTAGCAAAAATAAAGATTGGCTACTTAGCTTTTTCCTAACTATATCAGTTCATGTATGTTTCAAAAAGTGCTATTTGCAGATGAACTGTACCGTCCTACGTCACCTGGAGAAGAAGCACAGGGGAGCATGCACAAGCCCATGAGTTCCGACAATATCAGCATAGCATGGGACGAAAATTAGATTAAGCAGGTTCTTGTTTTGAATCAAATGAATGGATTCGGAAGTTTAATTATGCGCGGAGAAGGTGTTAGGCACCCCACAACATCCCACGAGACACACTGTTACAAGCATCGAAAACTTTGCAGATCTGACTAAAAAAAACATAAAACTTTTTATTGACCCTTCTTATATTCAATCTTTTTTGTGCTGGTAATTTATTAACCATATTGAATGGGATGCACTGTAACTACAGGATTAGGATTTTCTTTATCTTTTAAGTGCAAGTTTAGGATCATCTGATTGAGTTGCCTTAAATTATGGACTCCCACCTTGTTTCTGCACAAGCAAATGGCTATCAAACTGAATGATAATGCTTTTATTTCATTCCAGCTAGTATTTTTCATTTACAGTATAGAGCAGGCAATGTAATAGCTAGTATGACAAAATTTGACTGATCTAACAAATATACAGGCATACGAAGCACGAAAATCGCAGTGTACGTGAGTGTCTCATCCACAAAAGCCCAAATTAGCCCTAATTTTGAGTGAAAAGCCTTCCACCTTCGTTCTTCAACAACCGTTATCTCGGCCCTGAAAGGCGCACAGCAGAAAGATAAGCATCACTGTTGCAGTCTGATGGCCCGGATGAAGTGCCCTCCCCGCTTATTGATTTAAAGAAATTGGAATAAAGGCGCGAGCCCATTTGTGAAGAAGTTGGTGGCGTAGGAACAGCACAGATACCTTCAAGCATTTGTACAACTCTTGTCATTGGCGGTCTTAGGTACATATCATCCTGTATACACCACAAAGCGACTTTAACTGCAATAGAAACCCTCTCGTCCTTTTCATCTATCTTCAGCTTCGAATCAAGAATGTCTCTCAATTTCCCTTCTTCCAGCATCTTATAAGCATAGGATGGGAAATGGGATTTCTCTGAACTTTCTGTGGGCTCGTAGCTTTTTCTTCCTGCAATGATCTCAAGAAGGACCATGCCATAACTATAAACATCGCTCTTCTCTGATATGGCATAGCTCGTGATCCATTCCGGTGCAAGGTATCCTCTGGTGCCCCTTAGTGTCGTGAACACGTGGCTCTGCTCGCGGGTCATTAGCTTTGCAAGACCAAAATCTGAGACTTTGGCGATGTATTTATCATCAAGCAGTACATTTTCAGGTTTTATGTCACAATGCACAATCTTCACATCACAATCCTCATGGAGATATGCCAATCCTTTAGCCGTACCCAATGCTATGTTGAATCTTGTTTCCCAATCCAGCATGAAATCTTCATTGTTCTTCTTGAAGATCCATTTATCTAAAGAATTGTTTGCCATGTACTCGTAAGCAAGAAGCCGGTGCGTTCCTTCAGCACAAAAGCCTTTAAGCCTGACCAAGTGTATATGGTGGATGCTGCCAATGATGCTAACTTCAGCTCGAAATTCTTTCTTTCCCTGACCAATGCCTTCCAATTTCTTCACAGCCACTCGAGTTCCATCCGGGAGAACCCCTTGATAAACTGAGCCAAAACCCCCTTGCCCAAGCTTCACAGAGAAATTATTGGTTGCAGTAAGAAGATCTCTGTAAGTGAAACGTATTGGCATACCAGATAAACCCTCTAGGAAATTATCCTCTTCCGAAGACTCTTTAGGAGACTCTGGTGCTCTCCTCTTCCTCCGATAGTAGCGAACTCCTGCATAAATCAAACCAAAAATGACGAACACCGTGGAGATAGCTATGATGATGATGACAAACGGGGACTGTTTCTTGCTGTTTCCACCTCCAGTGTTTTGCCCATCACCTCCAGTACTCAAAACCTTAACAAATGAAATAAAACCGCCGCCATCAGTGGAGCTCTGCAAGCTACCTATCCTGTCAAACATATAACAGTTCCTTGAACTGTTCTGATAGAACAAAGCAAGGCAGGAGCAGTTACCATCGCAAGCGGCTTTGCAACTACTTAAATCAGTTTGAGCAGAGGGTGGAATGAACTCGAGAGCGAAATAGTTAAGCCCATCACCGGCATTTACTAGCTGCATTGAACCCTTTGAGCCATTGCATGGAGAGACAATTCCCGGGTTACAATTTGAGCTAGAGGGAAGATTTAGAGGGCACTGGCACTTTATGCCAGGAGAACAAACAGAATACGCACCACAAGGTTCAGGCGTGCTGCATGCGTCCTTCGGTATTGTTTGGGAAGCATCCAAACCTCCATTTTGAAGATTGTAGAAAGAGATTAATCCATCATTTCCTAGAACTGCAGCCCAAGTGTCACTTGTATTAGTATTATCTGAGACAACAATTTGCGACAATAGCACCTTGTTCTGATCATAAAACCTCCATGAACCATTAATAAGAGAAGCCGAAGTTAACTCCCCTCCATCTTGATTAATGATTTTTCGGGACTCCTTTCCCATAGACCAGTAAGGTTGTGGAGTTTGGAAACCCGCATAAAGAAGCATATCACTGGACTTGATTTCAAGAAAATAGCTCAAGTTATTGGAGCTTAGATTGCTTTCAAGTTTCATTCCTTTAACGAAGTCCTGGTTTGGCAAAAGGGTGTCTGTGGGATGGCTAAAACTCTGCCAAATAATGCTATTGTCATTCCCACGCAAAACCAGATTTCCCGAATTCTGCAACTCCATCGCAGAAACTCCTTTGCCAGCAGTATTGGTAGACCAAATTATGTCTCCACCACTTTTCAAGTAAGCATTCCCGTTGTCATCAAACACGAAGTTATCCGAGTTTCCAACTGGGAAGGTTCTATTTGCACACCAGACTGCTCTAGAACTGGGCTCATGGATTATTTCAAGCAGAAACAAAGTGACATCTTGGGTAGTGGCGAAACCGAAAGCAAAATTGGAGTTGTTGGATACAAGAAACTTTCCATCATTATCTATCCAAGTCATTTGAGAACCTTGAAACCCCGTACTCATTTCGCCAATGTTTTGAACACTAGCCATAGAAGTTTCAGACAGAAGGAGAATAAACAAACACAGGGCCACAAAATGAGAGAAGCCCAAAGTTTCCATGATCTCTCTCACCAAGAAGTAAAATTTAGCTGAATTTAGCTATACCAAAGGTCACAAACAAGGCCAGAACTCAGTAATCAAATGAACAAGAGGATGATTTGAAAAGTAAGAGGAGCTATGGAAAGATGAATGTGAAAGAAAACAGCCCTTTTTAACTATTTAAATGTGAAAGAAAACAGCCCTTTTTAACTATTTAAATGTGAACTAACCAATTTCAAACTATGTCATTCAACAATTGAATCCATAACAAAACTTAGCACCAAAAAGTTGAAGTTGGAAAACGAGACAGCATAAAACGCGACGTAAAGATGGACCACCACAGGTATTGCAAATACTAAATCTTTTTGACACACCCAAAAGGTCAATGAAAGCACCATAAATATAACAAAGACCCAGTTCAAATAACACAAGAAAATAAAGCAATTACCAATGACAATTCATGGGCACTCAGCATTTAGCCCACAAAGTCCATGAAAGTGACCAGAAACACCAAATTGAAAAGACCCACAAGAATTTATGACAAAAAGAAGAGAATCAACAGAATATGGGCAAGTTTCATGCCATGAACTGAGACCCAATTGCAGAAACAACTGATGGAAGCCATTAATGGAGCATAGAAGGAGAAGGGTGAGAGTACATACCAGTGAGAGATAGCTATGAATTCATTTCTTGGCTAATAAGATAGGAGACAAAGTGGATTTGCGGGCATGGGTCTCTGAGTTGCCTGATTTGGATGAAAAAAATACAAAGAGAATAAGATGAATCAGTTTGTGCTTATGTCAAAAAATTAGGAGAGATCTGGGGATGGGTTTTAACTTGTAGAACCTTGTTTTCCAAGAACTGTCAAAACAGGATTCTATGTGGATGACAGATCCATAATCAAAAATAAAATAATCAACTGATGATTTACACCAAAACATGTGTGTGTGTCTACACAATATTAATATAATAATCTTTGGGCAGATGGAAGGTAGATGGGGGCTCCAAGGGAAATAAATGCTTTAGTGGGGATAATTTAATGCTAAGTTGGACGAATGTGAGCAGGAGAGTCAAAGGGCTTGAAACCAATTCCTACCCGCCGGTACAAGGTATTCATGCCACTTGAACCTGTGGGTCCTACTCAAATACCAAGGTTAGCCTCAATATTTTGGTTGATATTACACCAATAGCCTTGTTTCTTTTATTTTTATTTTTCTTCTTTGAACAATGAAATAAATAAGTATTTATTTTAAAGATAAATTACATTAATCTTTTTTGATATTTCGTTAATATACACTGATATTTTTTTTATTTGCTAAATTTTACTTACATTCTTTTATATTTGTATGCAAATAACACATTTTTTTTCATTCATTGAGTGTCCTTTATTTATCTATATATTTTATTAAGACATGACCTTACACAATGTTCTATTATGGATATGCATACTTTTTAATATTTCTTCCTCCAAGTCACTATTCAGCTATTCAAGATATGTCACATTATTATCTCTCTTTAAATTAAATTATGTATAAAAGTAAGAGTAAATTATATAGACATTCTTTATAATTTGTCATAATTAGAAGAATATTTTTTATAGTTTGAAAATTACCCTGACCTTCTTCAAAAATAAAACTAATTTACACAAATTTTTCTTCTGTGATAGTCAACCTGAATCAATAACAAATTTTATTAATGTCATGTATTTAATAAATTAAAATTTTCATAATACCCTCCATACATATTCTTTCACTACTCACGTACTCTCTCTATATTATATTTACCTAATGGCCAATCACCACCACCACCAACAACGAAATGTTCTGGCAACCTCATTATGAAATTAAATAGTGTTTGTAGTTATGGTCATATGTTTTTCACTTAATTTATTTTTCTTATTATAGAAATCAGAAGACCCAATCTCAAATAGGGTTACTTAAAATTAAAACCACCTATTAACTACATTATTTCACCCTTAAACGTCTTAATGAGTTAATTGTATAATAAGAAATTTGCATAGTTTAAGACTAACTGAAGTCAATTTTCGTAAAATAAAATTAAAAAATAGCTAAGAAAAAAAAATGACAAGTCACTAATTCTGATCAGATATAGATAATTCTAGTTGGTATATTGACTTCAAAAATATAAAAATAAAAAATAAAATTGTGAATGAAATTAATCCATCATTCCATGGTGTATTATTTTATCCAGAAAAAGTAGAAATTTTTAAATTTTATGAGTTGTGATTTTTGGTGACCAATGTACAGAGGTGGTGTTGGCGAACACTACATGGTTATGTCCAAGGAAGGCCATAGTTACAGTGAGTGGGCGTTTCCCAGGTCCCACAATTTATGGCAGGGAATTGAATATGACACGGTGCTTGTGAAGGTCATCAATTATGTACAGTATTAGTCACGGTCGCATTGTAACACGGTCGCATTGTAACAGATTCGGACAAAACCAATGTAAACTGACCGATACTGATCGTAAGGTCACGTACTGATCGATACGACGCGTATGATACGGCAAACATGTGTGCAATACAATGTCAACATTCACTGGTACACAAAGAGATGTCATAAAATAGGTGGTCATGAAGTTCAAAGCTCACTGACGTTCTGTTCTGTACCTCGCCGGAGTTCTTGATTAATGACGTTCTGTACCTTTACCGGAGCACTTCGGTCAGTGATTGAAGTTCGCCAGACCTGTAGGGGTCTTCTCTAAAGCGCGCTAATTGTTCTTGAAGCTTCGTTGGTTTAGTCGGTTGAATTTCTAGTCCGAGCTTTTTCTGAGACCATAGCTTGAGTTCGGTCGGGTACTCAATGCTCACACCATTAGCAGCTCAAAATTAGTTTTCAGTTTTGGTTAATCATTGACAAAACCCACTTATCCAAAAACCCTGTTTGTATGACAATATATATGGAAGCCAACTCTCACAACAATATATATGCATACATAATTTATGTATATAATAAATATATATATATATATACACACAGAAATATAGAAGGGTACTTCAGTAATTTATCAAAACATTTAGAGGACATTTTAGTAAATTAAACATGTCTATTAATGCATTTAATGATCCGTCGGTAAGAGATGCAGTCCGTGCAATTTAGTTCCATAGCCGCCTAGATGGCCTAAATCTTTTCCACCTAAGAAGGGTCATGCATGTTTTTGACAAAGTCAATTTTACATTTTCACTCCTTAGAATGCAAATGCATGTTTTTCATTTCTTTGAAATTAATGTTCCCTTCGTCCACCAAATCAAATCAACTGATCTAATAATAGAATTTAACCTATGAATATCATTTTTAGTCATTGAATGTAATAATGAAACTCACTTGAGAGACGTCTGGAATACGATTCTTCATGAATTAAACCCTTCAAAAAGTACCTTATATTCCACATTAATTCGGTTCAATATTCAAATTTATAAGAGGAAAGGGTGAGAGATTTGGTCACCCATCACAATCCACTCGTCAATTCCAATTACTGCTCATCTTATCATAAGTCTCATTTTCACAGCGATACATTTTGCATTCTCCAATATTTTCCATGATTTTAGTACCTAATACGCTTATAAATAAATATTTGAGTCACTCGAGTTTTTTGTTTTAGTTAATATTGTGTGGTTCGGCCCATGTTGTATATCACGTGGAATATCACAATTACTCTTTTTGCTTGCTTCACCTTTTTAAAAATGCTTTTACAAGGTGGGAGACATCTCTTGTAAATGTCGATAACTTCTCCCCTAAATGATCCGAAATGTTATAGGGATACTTCCATCTGCGACAAGCCACCAGAAATTTAGCTAAGTTGTCTTAGTGAAAAAAAAATGATTTTGAATTTCTAAACAAGTTTAATGATACAAAACATGAGTATGTAGAATTAAATTGGACAAGATCCTTATAGTTTGTTGTTTTTTTTTCTAAAATCAAGGAAACAAGAGACAAATTAATCAACTAAACAAATGAGATATTGTTTATAATTAATTCCTTGAATATATTATTCCATACATGCCTTTTCTATTCTTGCAGGGATGAGCAAAATATTTGTTACGGTTGCTAAGGTGTAGTTGAGATCTGAGCCAGCTAATGCAAAAATAAATTTTTAATTAATTCGTGCCATAAAATTTTCTTATCATTTACAAAAACTTGTTGGGTTCACCTTTCATAAATACTATTATTATGAATTAATATTAAAATTATTATTATCATTATTATTATTTTTTAAAGCACGTGTATCGGCTTCACAACACACGCACTATTTAAGTTAAGAGTACGGTTCAAAAGCGAAACCCCAAAAACTTATCTCCCATATCCTGTCAACGCCACTATGCCTTTAAAGATTATTAAAATTATCATTATTGATATATAGTATGTTTGTTGAACACATTTACTTGATAATCTCAAACAAAATAAGCTTAATAGATTGGGCAAAACTCAAAAAGTAACATGGGTATCACTTTTAATTAATTTGATTTCTTGCTTTTGTAACAAAAGAAATTTATTAAGGATTGAAAGGGATGTTTTTGGTTTCAATGAAAAAACAAATGGTTCTTTGCCATATATTTTTCGAAGAAAATGTGTTCTAGTGGTGAACTCGTTGGCCTTTTCCACGACCTTTTTTATATTCTACGTCCTTCCTAACCGAAAAGTATAAAACTATAGTGTGGGGTTGTTTCCAATATATATATATATATATATATATATATATCAAATGACAAAACACACCACCATATAGATAGAAAATCTCACACAAAACAATTAATTCATAAAGCATTTGTCCGTTGGTTCTTGTTGGTGGATCAGATTTTAACTTATTTTCTTGTACTATAGTTAATCATTTAGTAGTCTCTTTATTCAAACCAGCAAATGTTTTTTACATAAGGATAATATTAGTGACTGAAACATTACTTGTATACAAATGTTGGTTTATTCTTGAAAGTGATATATTTTTAATTATTTCACATAATTAAATCTAATTTTATGGTACTTTGATTAGTTAGACAACCATTTTGTGACGTAATTATGACACCATGCTTACGCATTTTAGACTCTCAATATCCATATTATATCTTGACTTCGGCTATTAGAAGTTTCGGATTTATGTGTTTACTTTTTAGCAGTGTGTTTTTTGTGTCCATCAGCTCGACACACTGTATCTCATGATTAGTAGGTAACGGACTCTGCGAATATCGTTATAAATCGATTCAATTGATTAATTTATAAAATGAGTAAAAATATCGGACCCTTAAAAAAAAGATTACGTTTCAGTTTGTACATCACATATCGACTGATACGGCAACTATGCACTTTCTCTCTCTCTCTAAGAAATTTTTATATAGTTCTAATTAAGGACGTACAAGTCGACACGCAAATATATATGTCAACTTTATTCATATGTCTACTTACATCTCTTGTTGAGATTGACCAAGACTAAGTAATTCCGAACCATGTAATTTTTTTGGCACTTCACTTGATTATTTTATTTTTAAAATAAAAAAAACCAAACAATTATTCACTCAAAAAAAAAAAAGTCCCCAACTAATTTGGAATAAGAATAATGATATTCTGTCCGACCCAAACAGTCGAAGCTGGCGTTGGCTGAATCTTACGTGGTATAGTCGTATCATCCAGTCACACATGAGCCTCAGAAATCCAATGAAACTAATCATCAATTTACCCCCATTCTCTCTTCTTCTTCTTCATCGTTTCCGCATATCAGAAGTTTATAACACAAATCCAAAATGGGTGAAGCAAAAGAAAAACTATATCAAACAATATTTCTTTAATCGGATATTCAAACAATAAAATTTTCAGTCTCAAACATAAGTCCAAATTGAATATAAAATGATAAACTATGTTTTTTTGTTGTGTATAATGGGCCCATCTTGGTCCCTTATGATGAACCCTTCTAGGGTTTGTGTTGTTTCAAAACCATGATTTGTTTACCCTTTAAAACACTTGCTAAAAAAGTTGTTTTGCATCTAGAAAAAATTCCGTTTGAATTAGGTAAACGGATATACAAATTTTTTCCATTGACGAGATAGCCATGGAAGCAAAAACAGAA